CGTCGGGGAGGGGGCCCTCAGCGGCGCCGAGGGCCAGCGCAGGGCCAGCCAGCGGCCCTCCCTCTTGCAGAGCTCGCCGCCGCGGCCCGATCTGTCTCGAAGCGCGGTTCAGGATCCCAGACATGTCCGCGTCGTGAAAACCATCAGGACGGGAAGTTTTTGGCTATGTTCAGCCTCGGGGGGCCCTCGCCCGGCTTCGGGGCCGCCAGCAAAAATATTCACGACGAAAAACCGGTCGCAGGGAAAGGGTCCGGACTTCCAGGGGCGCCGTCTTGAAAAATCAACATGTCGCAGGTTTGGGATGTCAGCGGACGCTTTGTGTGCACCGTACCGCACTGACGCTCTCTGAGGCGTCGTCGATCCTCGACCTAAAAGTGGTACGGTGCCCCGTTGTTCGGCCCCCAGAGCCGAACAGTTGTGCACCGTACCGCGCTCGGCACGGTGCATGGGATCCGTTCTCGTAGGATGGGCTGGCCTTGGGGTGGCGCGAGTCCAGCGTAATTCAAGAGGAAGCTTTCGCCCTGAGGTGGCGGACGCAGCCTAATTCACGAGGGACTGGCCCTGGGAACGCGGACGCAGAGTAATTCACGAGGGGTCGTGGTCCTTGGAGTGCGGACGCAGCGTGACCTACGAGGGATCGTGGCCCTGGGAACGCGCGAACCAAATGTAATTTACCACGGTCTGTGGCGGTGGGAGCGCGGACCATGCGACCATTTCGAGAGATGGTTGCGCTGGGAGTTCGATTCCAGCGTAAGTTGCAAGGGATCGTGGCTCGTGGAGCGCGGGCCCAACTAAATTTACGAGGGAACGGGGCCCTGGGAGCGAGGACTCGGCGGAGAAGATTTACAGAGCAGGGTGGGTCGTTCCTTGGCTCGTCGCCTGGCACGTTCCGTGGCACGTCCCCAGGCGCGTCCCCTGGTACGTCCCCTGGTTTGCGCGTCCCCCGATATGTTCCATGGTGCATCCCAGGGCATATTCCTTGGCACGTTCTCTGGCGTGTCCACTGGCGCTCCCTGCCCGTTCCGTGGCGCGTCCTCTGGCGCTTCTTTTGCCACGTTCCCCGGCGCGTCTCCAGGCGCATCAGTTGGGACGTTCCCTGGCAGGACGTCCCCTGGCACACCCCCTAGTTGGCACCTTGCCATGTCCCGTGGCAGGTCCCTGACACGTCCATGGCCTGTCCCCCCGTACGTTCCGTGGGACGTCCCCCAGCGCATCCCCTGGCGCGTCCATGCACCCTTCGCCCCCATGTCGGTTCGTGCTGATTCGGAAGCAGATTGGATTTCGAGCTCGAGCTGGCTGAACGCCCCGCACTTTTCGGCTACTTCCAGCTCTGCGCCATTCAGCTCGAGCTAAATATCCAGATCATTGCGGTCAGGTCAAAGTACGGACGCCAAGGACGACCGGATCCGTAACGCGATAGGGTACAGCATTGTTCCACACGGTATGACATAGCACAGTTCAGTACGGTACAGCATGGCGCAGCGCAGCGCAGCTCAGCCTTTGGCACGAAATCATCCCTAGGGATATTCTCAGCACTACTACTGCCCATTGCCCAAGTTAGATCAGCTCTAGAACCATTTCCTGGGTCGAGGGTCGATCATGCTTTCTGATTATGGGATCTGAAACCGCCCAGCCTTTTTGTTGTTGTTTCGAAGCGTCCCCCAGTCCCCATTCCCGAAAGGGTTCCCATTTCTTGCCAAATCGCCGTCCTTTTGAAGGTTTTAGGGGGAGGGGAGTGTAATTCGTGATGGCCCAAGAGGGCGCGATGTGGTCCGTCGCGTTCGTCGTCGCGGTCTTCGCTGCCGTCGCGGTCATCGTCGCTGTCGCGGTCGTCGTCGCCGTTGCCGCCCTCATCGCCGTCGTCGCCGCCTCGCCGCCGCCGTTGCCGCAGTTTTCGCCGCCGCCGCCGTCGTCGCCGCCGCCGTGGCCGACGTTGCCCCAGCCGTCGTGGCCACCGTCGCTGTGGTTTTCTCCGTCACCGTCGTCCTCGCTGTCGGTGCTGGCGTCGCCTGGTCGACTCACGGCGGGCTTTGTGCCTGCCTGATACCGGCCTCGGAAGCAGTAAGCAGCACTCACGCCGCGCGTTTTGAGAGACCTGTCTCCCCAATACCCCCTCCCCACCTCCCTCGAGTGCAATGTTGGGTGTTGGACGTCGCGAAGTTTGCCCATCGACAGTTTGGGGTGCACAATGCCAACATGGAGTTTTCGGACGCAGGGGGGGGGGGCTGTCGCTGTTTCCGTCTGCTGTGGAGCAGAGGGAAGAGCCGGGCGTCGACAGACGCGGTCTTTGCTCCAGGTCTTGGCAGGGTTGGGGAGGCCCCTTGCGGATCCGAGGTGGTCCCAGACGAGGCTCAGAGAGTGCGCCGCGGAGCCCCAGCGCGGCCCAGAAAAACGCAGTGGGGCTGCCCCGGGACCGGTGGCATTTCCGTCAAAGAGCACCCGAATGAGGGGGGACGCCCCCGCCCCCTCCCCCCCCCCCTGGCGACGACTCAGGGCGGGCTGGAAGTGTGATGGAGAGGAGGAGGAGGAGGAGGAGGAGGAGGAGGAGGAGGAGGAGGAGGAGGAGGAGGAGCGTAGCCATTCTTGGCTCAAGACGGGAGCTTACCTCCCCGTCCCGACTCCAGAGGCTCGAGGTCGCGGTGGAGGGCAGCCTCCTTCCTTAGGCCTGTCTGTCGCGGCCCAGGTACTGTGAACCCCTTGGGGAGCACGCCTTTTCGAGCTCCTGCTGGATCGGTTTTCCCCTCACTCATATGTTTGCAGGCACATGGGCCCCACGGCGATCGGTGAAGTGCAGTCACGAAGTACTACATTGTTGTATTCGACCTGACTGGTGCTCCATTCATAGACGAATGCTACCAGAACAATGGTAGACCGCCCCTGGTTGCACCGCGCACCGACCGCGGACCCGCTGACAACATCGAGGGACTACCGAAACGCTCCCGCGGCGATCATACCTTCTGACTGGTGCTGAACCGCGATGCCACCACGGATATTCCTGTTATTTGTTCTCGTTCATAGCGCCACATACATCGTATGGCCGGTACATCGTTACCACCGTATTCGACTATAGCGTTACCGATAAGGTATGCCGTGTGCGGCCTGTCTGGCGAGATGCGACGTCGGCAGTCTGCATGACACCCTCCTTTGAATGGCCCCACCGCTCAGGCCCTACACTTTCTTCCTCTACGCTCCTCGCGATGTGGGATGGACAGGTGGCCGCCCCTCCTACACCCCCTCCTTCCCAAGCGGAAGCAGCGCCCCCCGGAGGTCTGGGGGCGGGCCCGCGCCACCCGCCCGCGGCGCGCACCCGGCGCGCGAGGCGGCGGTGCGGATAAGGGATCGCTGCGCAGTGGTGCGACGACAAAAAGCGAGGAGAAAGAGAACGAGAGAGAGAGAGAGATGGAGACAGAAAGAGAAGGAAAGAGGGAGAGACAGAGAGGGATATATCAAGAGAGGGAACACACAGAACGAGAGAGGAAGAGAGAGAGGATGATCATGATGATGATGCTGATGAGGATGGTGGTGATGGTGATGATGCTGATGCTGATGCTGATACAGATGATGCTGTTCTGGATGCTGATGATTATGATGCTGCTGCTGATGATGGTGGTGGTGATGATGATGACGATGATGATGGTGGTGGTGATGATGATGGTGGTGGTGCTAATGCTGATGCTGATGCTGATGATGCTGCTCATTGTGATGAGGTTGATGATGATAAGGCTGATGCTGATGATGATGCTGATTATGATGATTATGATGATGGTGATGGTGATGGTGATGGTGATGATGAGGAGGAGGAGGAGGATGCTGCTGCTGATGATGATGATGATGATGATGAGGAGGAGAAGGAGGAGCAGGATGAGCAGGAGGATGAGGAGGAGGAAATCGAGAAGGGGGAGCGGGAAGAGGAGGAGGAGGTGGAGGAGGTGGAGGAGGTGGAGGAGTTGGAGGAGGAGGAGAAGGAGGAGGGGCAGAGGAGGAGGAGGACGAGGAAGAGGAGAGGAGGAGAAGGAGGAGGAGGAGGAGGAGGAGGAGGGGGAAGGGGAAGGGGAGGGGAGGGAGAGAGGGAGGGAAGGGGGAGGGAAGGGGAGGGAAGCGGAGCGGGAGGGGGAGGCGGAGGATGAGGAGGCGGAGGAGGAGAAGGAGATGAAGGAGAGAGGAGGAGGAGGAGGAGGAGGAGGAGGAGAAGGAAGAAGAAGACGAGGAGGAGGAGGCGGAGGAGGAGGAGCAGGAAAAGGCGGAAGAGGAGGAGGAAGAGGATGAGGAGCGGGAAGAGGAGAGGAGGAGGAAGAGAGGAGGAGGAGGAGAAGGAGAGTGGAGGGTGGGGGAAGATGGTGGAGGGACGAGGGAGGGAGGGAGGGAAGGAGGAGGGAGGAGGGAGGAGGAAGGTGTGAAGAGGAGGAGAGAGGGAGGAAGGAGGAGGGAGGAGGGAGGAGGGAGGAGGGAGGAGGAGGGAAGAGGGAGGACGGAGGAGGGAGGAGGGAGGAGGGATGAGGGATCAGGGAGGAGGGAGGTGGAAGAAGGAGGAAGGGAGGAGGGAGGAGGCGGAGGAGGTGGAGGAGGAGGAAGACGAGGAAGAGGAGGAAGAGGAGGAGAGGAGGAGGAGGAGGAGGAGGAGGAGGAGGAGGAGGAGGAGAAGGAGGGAGGGAGGGAGGGAGGGAGGGAGTGTGGGAAGGAGGGAGGGAGACAGAGGGGCAGGCAGGCAGGCAGGCAGGCAGGCAGGCAGGCAGGCAGGCAGGAGGCAGGCAGGCAGGCAGGCAGACAGGCAGGCAGGCAGGCAGGCAGGCAGGCAGGCAGGATGAGGAGGATGAGGAGGGGGTCGGAAGTAGGAGGTTGGCGGTAGGAGGTAGGAGGTAGGAGGGAAGAAGAGGAGGAAGAGGGGGAGGAGGAGGAGGAGGAGAAGGAGGAAGAGGAGGAGGAGAAGGGGGAGGAGGATGGAGGAGGAGGAGGAAGAGGAGGAGTAGGGAGGTCTGGAGGGCGTGCTGCTTCCCGCCCAGGCAAAGGTCCTCCGACGGGGGTGCCGAGCAGATCAGCCTCGACTTTCCGGACGACGGAGGCAAGTGGCGGTGGGCGCAGGTCCGCAGGGGCAGGGGCGGGCGGCGAGGTTCGAGGGTCAATGCTAACGGGGGCCAGTCAGAGCGCTGGAACTTTGCGGGTTCTGCGGAGCCAGGGTGGTATTGACCCCAGCCAGCGTGCAGGATCCTGCGAGGTTGACCGAGCCCTGAGAGGTCTGGGGTCGGCTCGGACCAAACGGGTGGGATAGGGAAAAAGGGAGGGAGGGGGTTCCCAGATTGGGTCGGAGTAGATAGGGTCTGAGGATCGCGCCGCATCGCCGATGCATCGGCGTTGCGGCTCGATGTGGAGCCTGATTTCTCCACGTCGACGGTGCCGATGCATCGCCGACGTCGCCGATGCATCGCCAATGCATCGCCAATGCATCGGCGAGGCATCGGCGTTGCGGCGCGATCCTGCGACCCCATCTACTCGGACCCCATTTTGGAGGCCTCTAGGTACTGCAGGCACGTCAAGCACGTCAAATGAGACATTTACCTGCCAGCATGTGCCCCGCAACAGTTTCGTATCCCCCGATGGCCTTGGGGACCCGCAGAAGCCTGAGGGCGCCTTGGGAAGCTCGGAGATCGTCGACAGACGTGCCCTCGGATTTCTTCTGGTTGGGTTTCTTGTCGTATGCTTCTGCAGGGAAAACTGCCACTGCCGCTGGGCGCCTTCGTCGATACACGGGCGCTTCCGGCGCAAGAAGGCGCTGGGAAAGTCAGCTACGTGTGCTGATTCATTGACCCCGCCTTTGCTACCCCACCCCTTTGTCCGACCCGATTGGGGTTTCGCGCGCTCGGCCCTCAGAGGTGGGTCCTGGCCTCTACGGGCCCCTCAGGGTGTCCTCGGATGTAGGCTGGCGTCGTGTCGACCCGCGGCGACCCCCCGCCGCCAGCATTCAACGAGGAGCGCCGCTGATGACATAGGTTCGCTTGACACGAAGAAGAAAAGACGCCATAAACACAAGCTTTTGGCTCTCCGCGCGGATCCAAGAAATCCGCGCGGAGCGCCAACCGTTTATGCTTATGCCGTTTTTCTTAGCTCTATTGATGCTGAACGATGTGGTGATCTGACCCCGCCGCGGGCGTTCCAGGTGGAACGCCGCCAGTGGCCTAGAATCGGCCAATCTACAGGAGGAGGCGGCGGAGGAGGAGGACGTTGAGGAGGAGGAGGAGGAGGAGGAGGAGGAGGAGGAGGAGGAGGAGGAGGACGTTGAGGAGGAGGAGGAGGAGGAGGAGGCGGAGGAGGAGGAGGAGGAGAAGGACTAAGTGGGCCAAGTGCAAAGCGACCGAGGGGTCGCGCGGAGGGGCCAAGCCTAGTCGGAGGAGCTGGAGGGGGAGGGCGGCACGGGCCTGGGTGTCGAAGTCGCAGCCGACAGGGCCGAGGCCGGACGTGGCTCGGCCAGGTGCGCTCGCACCGCATTCCACGCCCTAGCACCCTCGGCCGACGCGGCCGACCCCGACAGGACCCTCGCCCCGACGCCATCCTCCTCCTCCCCCTTCACAGCCTGCACGGACTCCTCCACAACACATTCGTCCAAAACTTCACCGCCTCGATACATGCCTCCGCGCAAACCCTCGGGTGGGGGGACGGGGGCCGAGGTGGGGGAAAATTCAGAGGCCCTTCCATCACCCTCAGGTGGGGTCCAGGGGCCTGGGGCAGCACAGCCCTGGGGAGCGCACGAGCGCGGCCCTCTGAGGCAGCATCCAGGTGCACCGCCTCGGTGATGGCCTTCGAGGGACCCGCGTGGGAAGGATGCAGGCCCTTGGCAACGCGGGCAGGGACCTCCTTCCCCTTGGAACTCGGCTCGCTGCACCCCTCCAGGAGCTTCACAAAGCGAAAGGTGGCAGTCGCGCCACAGCGTGTACAGAAGAGAGCTCACCAGCGTGGGAGCTCCAGCAATCTTTGAGACTCATGGGCCTTCAGGCCTCGCAACTTCCGTCGCCGCGCCTCCACCACCACCGCCTCCCCGAACCAACGCGGAGCCTCCCCTCCCCGTGCGAGGGCAGGAGCGGGGGGCGGCCCAGGACAGATGGTGAGGGCCGTCTCATCGAGACGACAAGCATCAACAAGCTGCGTACATACAGCACATCGCCACTTGTCTTCACATCTCTCATACTTTTGCGTGGGAGCCATGAGACACAAGGCACGGGTGGACAGGGGGGTCTGACGAGGGACCCCGACTCTCTCCCTTCGCAGCACCTTATCAGAGCCAGTACTCTTGATGATGGCCCTAGCTCTAGCGCGGACAAGGGCGGCCGTCACATCCCAAAGACCAGTGTGTGGGACAGGCTTGCACGCCGAATTCCAATTCTTCTCAGCTCCTCGGCCTGCCCAAGCATCAGCAACATAATTGCCGCATGCAACGAATGGGTTGGTGATGGCCACTGGCGTCTCATCCTGGTGCGAAGGGGTCCACACCAAGGCCACATCGCGTCCAGAGTCCAGCTCCAAGGCCCTGCGAAGACGAGACCAACTATCCCAGTTCCTGAGGCGCCGCGTCCAGGCTCTAGGAGGCCTCCGAGCCCAACCCTGCCCCCATCCATTGAGGAGAGGCTTGTGGCCGGTGGTAAACGTCAGAGGCCCCGAGCCTTCTCCCACCGCAATGCAAACAACGCGAGCAACTCAGCACGCGGGACGGCCTGCGGTCTGGCCTCCAAGGGGCCGAAGATGCCAGAGTGGCCTCGCCACAGGCCAGCACCGTCGGGGGAGATCGCCGCAACCGCCCAGCCACATCGGCGCCTCCGAGGGTCCTCTGAAAGGGCCCCCCCAGGGCCATCCCCAAACACATGGAGGCGCCAGTGGGGGTCTCGGCAAGCTTCCCACGAGGGCCTTCCTTCATTGTCAGGGCCCACCACCTCCACCCCACCCCCGTCCCACGGAGAGAAGGAGGGAGTAGTGGAGAAGAGGCCAGGGACACCTCTAAGCCACAGAGCAGGGTCCTGTTCCAGACCCGCAAGCGCCTGGGGCACTAAGTGATCACTGGCAGCAACCTCAGGGCCCTCATTTGCCGAGCACTTCTAGAGCCTATGTGGGAGGTCCTCAATGGCCCCAGTGTTACAACTATCACAGAGACGGCACACGTTGTAGCCAGCTTGATAGAGGCGCTCACGGGCCCACTGGCCCCCAGGTGCAACACCATCATTCAGAGCCCATGCCGATATTTTCCCGCCCGACAAGAACCTCCGCTGCTCGATCCTGATCGTGACCAGGTCGGCTCCAGCGGCGAGAGAGGCGCCATGCTCGTGCGCCGCCGCAGTCGCCCAGAGCCTGCTATGGAGATCGTCGCTGGAATCGCCGAGGACGGGCTCGTAGTCGAGGTCAACTAGCTCCGCTCCAGCGTCTGGGAGCCTCCATTCCTCCAAGTATTCATCGCGCACTCGGTGCCAGCAGTCCGCCGCCTTGGGACCCCAACCAGCCTCGAGTAATGTCGCAATCGTCGCTGCCGTCGGCCCCGTACCGTATGACCAAAGCTTTGGGCCCGCGAGCGTCAGTTTGTCTTGGAAAGCATACACGTCCTGCGGATACGCTGATGAAGGTGTGGCTGATCCTGCCAAAAAGCGAATCCACCGACGCAGCAATTGTACTCGTAGTTGGGCACCAGGATCAGCTCCACCAAAGGTGACTCCCACGAGGGTCGTGAGGCAGCGCCCCGCTGCCTGCCCAGTGGCCGCCGCTGCCGCCTGTCTGCGCCACCGTAGCATAGCATGTCGAGCGAGTCCACGAACCTGGTGGCCATATACTCCCTGAGGTAAGGCTCATGTGACCCACAGGCCCACAGACCCTTAGCAATACGGGCCTGCTGAGAGGTGCTCCTCATGCGCACGATCCTCCTGGTCCTGGTGGAGGCCGCTCGCGAGCGCTCTCCCGTCTTCTTCTGAACTCTGCGTGTGCCCGCTGCCGTGTCGATGCCAAGGTCCGCTGGCGTTGTAGTCGCTGAGACTGGAACCCCTCGTCTTCGAAGGCCCCGCTCCAGTCGCCCTCGTACTTGCTTACTGTTCGATAGCACCACAGTCTTGTCAGAGACTGGGAGGTCAGCATGATCAAGTGCTGCCTTCAACTCACCTCCCGCCTTGATCAGTTGCTGTGCCACTACTCGCGCCGTTCCTTCTGACCTCGCCACTGCGTCGTCCACGAAATTCCACATGGTAGCACCCTCGGCCCGACGTTGAGCGTGAGTGAGGATAGGGAGCAGAAACAGACGGGCCAAACTCACACCTCTAGGGGAGCCCGCCACGATCCCCTGGAGGGCATACATGGGATCAGCAATCCACCCACGAGATCTCAATATCCCCGTGCTGAGGAAGAGCTGGACCTCCAGCAGGAGGCAGATGGCAGGGACGTTCGCATCCAGACCGACTTCTATAAGGAGTGCCAGCTTCACGTGATCATAGAATTTGGCCAAGTCCAGTAGTAGCGTACCAACTGTGTGGCCCATAGTCACAGCCGATTCGTCCAAGAAAGCACGATGCAATGCCGCTGCTAATGCCGACGATCCTTCTATAGCCGTACACCAGAAGTCGTGAAGGCCATCGCTCCACATGTCCGAGGCCGTCCCACGAATGCGACTCCAAATGCGGGCTATATGTGGCAGAACTCCCAGCACACGGTCTCCTCCAGCTTTCTTCGGTGCCATAGCTCTGAACGTGACCAGAACCTGCGGCGGCCAGACACCATCCATCTCGATCTGATTTAAGAGGTCCGTAAACTGTTGGAGTGCTTCATCTGGTAATCGCAGCATGTCCCGAGGGCCTGTCATGTCCACCCCTTCGGCCTTGGCTCCTGGCATGATCTGTAGCGTGCGCTTAAGGTCGCCAAGCGAGATCGCTTCGGGAGGGTTCTCCTGAAGCCGTCGACGAGCCTTGACCAAGGCGTCCAGGACATGATGCTTGGTCTCGCGTGGATTCCAGACTCTTTCCCACTCGTCTCTTTCTGTCCATGATAAACGTGGGATTAGCGATCGTCTGGCCACTAGCATATATCTCCAATCGTTTCCGTTCCTGGGGCTTGACTGATCGATGTAAGATTCCCGGCTTCGCTTTCCACATATCTGCCAACCATCCCGCGCACTCCTTCTTAGACTGATAAGATGCATGTGCAGCGGCTCTGCCCGCCCAAGCCTCCGTCCTGCTAACAGGCTCATCACGCTCTTCATCGTCCAAGGCTGTGATTGTGCGGTCCATCTCTGCCCATCTGAAGACATCCTCTCCGTCGACCTTCAGCAACAGCTTATCTCTCCTTGCGTCTAGGTCAAGAAGCCTCCGCATGAGGATAGCTGCGGTGTCTTCGATGAGGCTCTCATGCTGTGGTTCCTGCGCAATGCCAGCGTCTTCTTCACCAGGGTCGCTGTTATGGCCCACCACTCAGCAGGTTCATGCTTGATATGCGTTCGTCCAGGGGTCGAGGCAGTCTTCTTCCATGTGAATCGCACCCCTTGAGCTCGTCCAATTTAGCCTGCCTGCTTCGCCTCGGGAATGGCGTGATGTTGCAGAATCAGCTTCTCAAATGACCCCATCCAAGTAGCATACAGGGTAAACATACGCGTAGTAGCCTGGAGGTCCCTCTCGTGCAGGAAATGGATTGGCAATCCCCAAGACTGTTTGTCATGTGGCCTCATGAGAGCCTATCGTGGCCCGTAATCGCCGTGCAGCTCCAAGGGGGAAGGGCACGCTCCGATGATTGAAGGCCCGTGACCACCCGTACGGGCCCTTCGGGTCCCCTCCCCCCTTAATGGCAAGACGTCGTCGCTGTAGGTACCGTAGTCGTTTCCAGAGAGACAATCTGGCAGCCCGATCACGCCGTGCAGCTCCAAGGGGGAAGGGCACGCTCCGATGATTGAAGGCCCGTGACCACCCGTACGGGCCCTTCGGGTCCCCTCCCCCCTTAATGGCAAGACGTCGTCGCTGTAGGTACCGTAGTCGTTTCCAGAGAGACAATCTGGCAGCCCGATCACGCCGTGCAGCTCCAAGGGGGAAGGGCACGCTCCGATGATTGAAGGCCCGTGACCACCCGTACGGGCCCTTCGGGTCCCCTCCCCCCTTAATGGCAGGTCATCGTCGCTGGTGGTACCGCAATCGTTCCCAGAGAAAGTATCTGGGGCCCCCTCCAGCAGGCGAGACCTCCCTTTCGGGTGCTCCGAGCGTGCCTTCGCTGGGGGCCCAGCCGTGTCGTAGCAGTCCAGGGCCTCCATCCCATCGTCCTGGTGCTGCCTCCCCAGGTCGAGGGGGATGGTAAAGTCACCCCCTTTGACGTAAACGATCTCTGTGGGCGTGAGTAGCGCAAGGGCATCAATTCCACTAGCATCCTGTGAAACCTCCAAAAAGGCCCCCTGCAGCTCGTCTGGTAGCTGGCGCTGACGCTTCTCCAGTGTCGCCTTCTTCCCCGGGGAAGTCTTGCTGTTAGGGTCGGCCTGACGTCGCGGGCGTGGGGAGCAGGGTAACTCCGTGGGGAGATGCATTGCCTGATGCCACCAAGGCTGCAGGCCGAAGGACCCCCGCCGCCGAAGGCGGCAGCGTGCACGAGAAGTCGGCACGGCACGAGCCTGCCGGTGCAGGCCGGCAAGAGCACGCACACGGGCGTGCCATCGCCGCCGCCGCGGGCTTACGGGGCCCACTGGCAGATCGATCGGGCGAGGCCGCGGAGGGACGGCATCGAGAGGCGAGTTTCAAGTCGGGCCTGTCCCTCTACAGGAGCACTGTTCAAACACAGTCCAAGAATATAGTCTGGGCACGATGTCTCGACATCTCTGGGCATTTTATACATATATATATATATATATATATATTGGACGGGGGACATGCCCGACCCAAGGCAAGCTGAGGCAGTGTTTTCTTGCAGTGGTGCCGCCATCTTTTCTGCGAGTTCTTAGCGGCCCGAACTATCAGGGGAGTGGGGGGGGGCCATGGCTAACTCCTAATTCGGACGCCCGTTTACGCGCCAGTTGGTGCCCCAGACTGCACCCAACTCGAGTTTTCCCAAGTTGCATTCTCTGCTCCATGTCAGTGTGCTGTCAAGTGGGCTCCTGAAGCACGCGGCATTCCAGATCCAGCGGCTCAGGGTGGATCGCAGGGGCGCAGGGCTCCCGGCGCCGACACCGCCTCCTTCTGCACCCCGATCGCCTGCCCGGAGACCCGACACGTGTGCACCCAGATGATCTGGGAAAAACGCGGTGGGGGCGTTCGTTGAGGATTGTGCCTAGGAGGCTTCAGACCCTGGAGCATTCCTTATCCAATGCGGGCGGCGGTGATACCCATGGCCACTCTATGATTGGAGTTCCGCGGGCTTCAAGACCCTGGATTCCTTGCCCAGTGGTTCCTTCTCCAATACCTTCACCGTGTTAAGGCGCTGCATGGCGGACGGGACGACCCTCGGGGCTCAGCCTGCCCTGCACGGGCGCCTCTGGGGGGCTGGCCACGGCCACCTCTGGCGCCCGCGTTGTGCGCGCGTCCTCCCGGGCTCCCGGGTGCGGTGCGCCCTCCGCGCGGCTTCCCTCGCCTCGGAGCTTCCCTCGCCGACGGTCGCACCGCGGCGGAGCCGGCGTGCCGGGGGCGACGACGACGACGACAGCAACCTGCAACAACCAATACGCTGGGGGCGTTGGTTCAGGAATGCGCCCAGAAGACTGCAGACCCTGGAGGATTCCTTATCTGATGAGGGCGGCGGTGATATCCATGGCCGATCCACGATCAGAGTTCCACCAGCTTCCAGACCCTGGATTCCGCATCTCAGGGTTCATTGTCCAATGCCCCCACCGTAAGGTAGCGTTTCTTTATTCATTATGTTGCCGATCGGCGCGGGCCTTCGCTCGCCCCCTCCCCCCCCCTCATGGAGCAGATCTTGGATGGTTTTTGGCGCCCGTTTCGCGAGCAGATGGAGCCTCCCCCATGATGGACGCATTGCTGCACACAGTCGCACTAAGCAGAGGTCTGGAGCCAGAACCCCCCCCTCCCCCCGACAGGTCCCAATGTCGAAGCGGCGATTAAACAAAAAAACGCTCACTAACAATAATCCAGGCCGCGGAGTCCCACTTCAGCCACGCACCTGGGGACAATGAATGACCGTTGGCCCTCGCGCTCTGACAACTCCGGCGGGCACTGCGCGTCTTCTGCATGGCAGCGGCGTGGATCTCTTCCACGTGGGAGTGCCCTCCGCCTCCGCGCGGCCGCCCTGTCTGTCTCGTTTTCCGACTCTTGCATGCCGGCCAATTTGCCATGCTCCGAGTCGCCACACGCTGGAGCGGACTGTCTCCGCCTCGCCGCCGACGGAAAGGTGTCCTCTGCAAGGTGGCTTCGGAGCCGACGCAGAGCCGATGTGAATTCGGCGTGGAGGCGACGCGGGCAGCGGCGCGGGCAGCGGCGCGACGGGACAGAATTGGACTCGGCCGGTTGACAGCCCAGCACACATTGGCCTGCGTGCCGGGTACAAGCTCGCAGAGCTACATGGTGACTTGGATATAACACCGTTCGAAGAAGAACCAACTGCATAAAACATAAACTTTTGGCGCTCCGCGCGGATTTCTTGGATCCGCACTGGGCCCCCCTGGCGGCGTCTCCGGCGCCGCCCCTGGCGCGCCAGGGAGGGGTCCAGCTCGGATCCAAGAAACCCTCGCGGAGCATCAAAAGTTCATGCTTATGCAGTTTTCTCTTCTTCCAACCGTGAAGATAGGCGGAAGCGCTCCACGGGGGCGGGGCGGCTGAAGGCCCGCCCCGGGAGGGGAGGACCTGGTCGAGGACAACGAGAACGACGAGGTGCCGCTGATCGTCCCGAAGGCTGCCAGAGAGGCCATGGTTCAGGTACGCGGGGGGCGCCCGTCCCAGAACCTGGCTTCACGGAGCACTCCTGGTGGCCAGTGCCCACCCCTCATTCTCCCCCTCCTCCTCGCAGACGACATCTACACACCACCATCCTGCCTGGCGAGGGCCGTCCTGGTTCCCACGATGGTGTAAATACCCTCCTGGCCTCGGCCAGAAGGCGTCTACACCATGCACGAGCACAGGATGGCCCTGGCCAGACACGGTGGTATGTATATATATATATATATATACTTCTCTGCGTATCTTCCCCCCTCTCGCCGTCGCCGTCCGTCGTCTGTCGCCGCCGCCGCCACTGCCGTCGTCGTCGTCGTCGTCGTCGTCGTCGTCGTCGTCGTCGTCATCGTCGTCGTCGTCGTCGTCGTCGTCGTCGTCGTCGTCGGCACAGCTCGAGGCCGGGGGCCAGGGCGCCCGGGGCCGCCGGAACCAGATGAGTTGCCCCGATCAGGGATGTGGGACGTGTAGCAGGGCTCGAGCTAAACGGTGTTTGGGCGATTTCCTGGACCGTTTCGCTTTGATTTTGTTTCGCAGCGAAGGCAGAACGAAGGCAGAACGAAGGAACACGAACATAAAACGAACGAAAAACACTGTTCAACTCGAGCCCTGGCGTGGGATGTGTAGCCGCTTGCAGTCCCGCTCTGGGAGCCTTTTGGAGTCTTGGAGGCCTCTGGGGGCCCTGGGAACTTTCGGGCCTCGTGGGAGCGAGCCAGCGGCTGCCGGCGGCAGCGGCGGGCTGTGTGTATGTGTGTGTGTTGTGCGTGTGTTGCGTGTGTATGTGTGTGTGTGTGTGTTTATGTGTGTCTCTGTGTGTCTGTGTGTGTGTGTCTGTGTGTCTGTGTGTGCGTGGCCATAGGCTCGGACAGCCCGTGGGCAAGTTGGCCAGCCATGGTGAGACGCATTTGACAGTATAACACCATGGCCCTCAGGAAAGCAAGCCCACCTTCCCTGGCGGTGCGCCAGACCAGAAGATTGATCACCGGATCCTGGACGCATGTTATAAGGTGACACCCCGTGAGCAGATCCTGGACGAGAGGAGAGGGGAGGGAGGCGGGAGGGAGGGGGGCGGGAGCGACGATGGTATGGACGACGCCTCACAATCGGGACATGGTGCAGCGCACGTTCAGGCACACACGCACAACATACACACAAACACACACACACACACGATCACACACACACACACACCAGGGCCTACCTGGGAGCCTCTGAAATCTCTGGGGCAAGGGGTGGCTGGGGTGGTTGACGGGGGGAGGGGGGGAAGGAATGATTCCATGGACCCCGGTGGAGGGGATTGGGGGAGAGGTCAAGACTCCCTCCTCGCCCGCAAGCCGTCTCGCTCACTCCCACCCGCCCTCCCAACACATACGTAGCACCCGAGCCGCAGCATATTCAGCAGTTGTCTTTGGATGGGCAGCTACTGGGGGGCGAATCCGCCGCCGCCGCCGCCTCCGCCGCCGCCGCCGCCTGCCGCCGCCGCCGCGCCGCCGCCGCCGCCGCCGCTGTCCGCCGCCGCCGCGCCGCGCCGCCGCCGCCGTCCGCCGCCGCCGCCGCCGCGCCGCCCGCCGCCGCCGCCGCCGCCGCCGTCGCCCCCGCTGCCGAATCGCCGCCGCCGCAGCCGCTGCCGCCGCAGCCGCTGCCCCCGCCGCAGCCGCCGCCCCCGCCGCCGCCGCCGCCACCGCCACCGCCACCGCCGCAGTCGCCGCAGCCGCTGCCCCTTCCACAGCCGCCGCCGCCGCCGCCAAATGTATTCTGTATTATTTTTTGACAGGGACGGAGGGGGGAGGCCGCATCGGGTTCGCTGCGCATGTTCCGAATTTGGAGGCAGAGTGTGTTTTGTATTGTTTTGTACAAGGGACGGTGGGGGGGCCGCGTTGTCCCTGGTTGCCTTCCAGTCGCCTGGGGGACGGGGTGTATACTAATTGGGAACAGTGATAAACCTTGCCCCCGAGGGGAAGAAGGAGGTTGGAAGAACTAACTCCATCTACCACCAACGCCCAAACCACTTCTGGTAGTACTCCCCCCCGGGCGTGCATTAGCCACAGGCGCAGAAGAAGGCCGCCGAGGCGCGGCTGAAGGCCATCGCCTCGAAGCCCGTCTGGAAGAAGAGCCAGCAGGCCGCCCCAGGGTTCGCCGCCGTGCGACGGCGGCGGGCGGCGTCGGCGGCCCGGCGGGGGCGGCGGCGGTGGGGACGACGACGACGACGACGACGACGACGACGACGACGACGACGACGACGACGACGACGACGACGACGGCGGCGGCGGCGGCGGCGGTGGCGGCGGCGGCGGCGGCGGCGACCGCGGCGACGACCACGACCACGACCACGACCACGACCACGACCACGACCACGACCACGACCACGACCACGATCACGACCACGACGTCGACGGGCGGCCCGGCGCCGAGCGGGCGGGCCGGCCGTGAGTGTAGAAGCCCTTGCTGCCGCCGCCGTCGGCGGCAGCTGCGACGTCGGCGGTAGCCGCGATGGCGGCTGCGGCCACGGCCGCATCGGCGGCGACTGCGGCGGCGGCGGCGACGACGACGACGGCGGAGTTGCTGGGCGCCCGGAGGGGGACTGCCACCCGCGCGGCGCCGTGTCATTTGAGCTCTGGGTCTCAGTCTCGCGGGCCCCCTCCCCCTCTGCGCGTCGTCCTCGCGAGGAGCGGAGGCCGCGGCGAGCGCGCGCGCGCTGGCGCCAGCGCTCGCGCGAGACCCGCGCAGGAGGCACAGGAAGATCGGAAGGTCGAGGTTTACGGAGGTTTTCCGCCTGCCATCGAGAAGCAACAGACTGCATACACACATTTTTCTGCCGGCGGCTAGGCAGAGGGACTGCTCTGGCGATGTGGCATTTGTGGGACACACACAGAACGCGAATTAGGCCGCAGTGCACTGGAGGAGGAGAAAGGAAGCCCCGAAGACGGCATACACATTAACTTTCGGAGTTCTGCGCGGGTTTCGTGGGTCTGCGCTGGGCCCCGCTGGCGGCGGCGCCGCCGCCTCCGGCGCACTCCGCGCGCTGGGGAAGGGGTCCAGTGCCGATCCAAGAACTCAGCGCGGACCTCGGAAAGCTTACGTCTACGCATTATTATGTTCAATATTTCTGTTGGTCGGGGAAGCGGGCACCTTCCCCGATCCGTGGATCTGGCGACCGCGCGCCAGATCTAGTCCATGTCAGCGTGCACCCGAGTGGGGCCTCCTCTCCAGTGGCCGACCTGTGGTGTCCCTGGGGAGGCCCCCCTGGGGAGGACTTCGGGAGGCCTCCAGAAGTCAGCCCTGCCCTCGCGAGGAGGACCTGGGCCAGGCCTCCAGTCTCCAGGCGTTGCAGAGAGAAAGGGAATCACGACGGGTGCCCAGACATGCGATGTCCTGATGTTTTCCATATGGAGTCCCCGGACGTCCCGACTCTTTCCCCAGGGCCAGTTTTTCACATCGCGAGCCGAGTCGTTCTTTGACGGTCCCAGGGCCCAGCGATGGCCCCGAGAAGCCGAAATCAATTGAACACATCCCGTCCTGTTTTTTTCATCGCAGTCATGTGCAGGTGACTCTCCCTATTCTGGCCTCTGGGGACCCTCGCCGAACACTGCCCCCATTGGGCCCGCGGTGAGCGATCCACGCCGGAGAACTTGCTCCAAGCAGGGGGGGCGGCGCTCGGGGGGCCCGTTTCACGTGAAGGAGATACAAAAACACTGAGACATCGGCAGTCCCAGGGGGGAGGTTCAGAGTGCTCGTTTCCGTAACTCCATTTTTCTTCCACAAAAAGAGTTGCACAACTGAGGTGTAGCGGAATTTATCACCATCTTGCCAACGCATCTCTGACGTGCACGGCTTTGTCTCTCTCTCTCTCTCTCTTTCTCTCTCTTTCTCTTTCTCCCCATCCTTTTTTCGAGAAGCTGAAATGATGGATTCAGGTGGGTGGATCAGCGACGGTTCCCGCTTCCATGCGAAGTCGATGCGCTCCGTCGCCAAATCAGGCGGCACTGGCCTCATGTTTTGGGGGTCCCATCCCCGATCCGTGGACCTGGCGCCCACGCGCCAGATCCACGGGTCCGTGATCCATGTCAGTGTGTGCCCGATGTTCGAAGTTGTGAGGGTAGGAGGGGGAAGGAGGGTTGTATGATTCGAGGTGGATTTCTCGTAGGGTTCAGAGGGCTCCGCGGGTCTCCGAGGGCGTGCGTGGGTAGGATTTAGCGCGGTCCAGGTCACCGCCAGCGTGCGAGGAGCAGGAACGACGACGACGTTGGTGAGGAGGATGGCGTCGTCGACGTCGTCGTCGACGACATCCATTATGACGGCATGAGAAGCAGCAGAGGAGGGAGGAGGGAGATGGAAGGAGGAAGCAGGCGGGATTCAGGCAGGAGTTTGTAGCCAGAAGGTTGTACTGGCTTCTGGAAGTTCTAGGGGAATCAGAGAACAGAACCGCCTGTCTCCTGGTCCTCTTCATCCTCCTTCCGCTCCTTCTCTTCCTCCTTTTCTCCCTCTTGCTTCATTTTCTTATTGCGTCTTATACTTTTCGAGGGAGGGGAGGAGGATGAGGAGGAGGAGGAGGAGGAGGAGGAGGAGGAGGAGGAGGAGGAGGACGACAAACATCCCAGAAGCCGAGCTAGGAGACAGAGAGTGAAGCCAATACAGCATGGCCTTCCACGGCAAAGCTGTACTTCCATAGTTTGCAATCTGTGCGTGTTGCAATTTCTTCAGGAGGGGAACGCACAGGCACAATTAATCGTCGATCCCCAGGAAAATATGGGGCACTATGGGAAGTGGGGGGATGACGAACATCCAGAGAGTATATCTATATCTGTATATATATATAGAAATATATAACGAGGGACATCTTTGGAAATAGTGTGTATTCATTCGCGTGCCCATGGGCCCCTTCATTCCTCTCCATCCATGCGTACGCTTTTTTGGGCAGGGAGCGCCCTCCGAGCTTGCCTGCTTGATGACCTCTCCTACGCCGCCCAGGCTGGGAAGCTGTACTCACCGCGAACAGGACATGCTGTGGTCCTAGTGGGCGACACCTTCTACCTCATGGGTGGCGCCCTGTCGGGGAGAAGAAAGAGAGAGATTTGAATAATGAGCGGCGTAAGCATGAACTTTTCGCGCTCCGCGCGGATTTCTTGAATCCGCGCTGGAGACCCCCTGGCGGCACCTCCGGCGCCGCTCTTGGCGCGCTCCGCGCGCCAGGGATGGGGGGGTCCAGCGCAGATCCAAGAAATCCGCGCGGAGCGCCAAACGTTGATGTTTATTGCGTCGTCTTTTTCTAGGGATGTAGTTTCTGCCACAAAGGGGTCATAGCACAGTGCGGATTGGCTAGGAATCGCTTGCCTGGCACACTCGGCCAGACAGTCCAGAGGAAGGGTGGTGGGAGCTGGCCACAGAAGGCTGACGTCATCAGTGGGCTGTCTGACTCCTTGTGAGGCTCTGCAGACGCTGGCGAGCTCAGAACAGCTAAAGCTGCCGCTGCCGCCAGCAGCGGGGGCCCCTCTTGGCCGGGTGGGGGGGCGCGCTGCGGTCGCCCCCAGATCGCAGGGCGTCAATTTGCTGCAGGGAGACGGCTCACGTCGCAGAGCTCTGGTACAGTGGCAAGTCAGGCCTCCGATGTCGCGCGCTGACCTCCTCATCCTGGCCCCCCTCTTCGGCGCACCCGAGGCTCTGATGCGATGCATTCCGAGGTGCTCTGCCGCGGAGGGGGTGGCTGCAGACCGGCCGGGGCGCGACGGGCGGAGCTCCACGCGGCCCCCCCGCGGGCAGTTCTCCCCGCAGTGGAGGCCCACGCCAGGAAGCACCCCGCGTGCCTCCAGGGTGCCCTGGGTGTCTTGAGCGTCGATGGCCTTGCGATGGAAAGCGCGACTCGGGCCGGGCGAAAGGGGGGGATTGGGAAAGGGGGGTTACGAAATCTGCTGCATGCAGCTGGTTTCGGCCCCACCGAGGGGCCCATTCCTCGATACATGGCCGCCTCCAGGCGCCGGGAGGCGCCGGGAAAATCAGCTACGTGAGCTGATTCTCAAACCCCCCCTTTGCTATCCCCCCCTTTCGCCCGACCCGAGCGACGTCCCCACGCCAGAAGTTGATGGACGTCCTGGGGCCTCAGGGCTGGGCTTCTTGTGGAGGGTTTCCGGTGGACTGGCCCCTGCTGTACCTTCTGAGATGCTCTGTTGCAGAGGGTGGCTGCCGACGAGCTGGGGCGCGACAGACATAACTCCTCGGCCTCCCACGGGCAGTTCTCCTGCAGCAGGCACGCCAGGTAAGAAATTGGCCTGCCAACGGGCCCCCCCCCCCCACGGAAGCGTGTTGCCTCCCAAGCGTGTCCGCAGAGCCCTCGGGGCGCCTCGCGAATCTCCGGGTCGACGAAGGGTGTGCCCCCAGATGTCTCACAGGACGACTTTGTACTGTGCAGTGGAGGCCCATGCCAAGAAGCACCTCGCTTGCCTCCAGGGTGCCCGGGGTTTCTTGGGTGTCCATGGTTTTGCTGTGGAAGGCGTGACGCTCCCACGCCAAACATCGATGGACGCCGTAGGGCCTCAGGGTTGGGTTTCTTGTGGAAGGGTTCTTGTGGAGTGGCCTCTACTGAATGTGCCTGCTGCGCTGCAAGGCGGCAGTCCAAGCTGCGGGGCGCTCGCACAACAGCACGCGGCCCGCGGAAGCCGCCGCGTAGGGTCGCCATGCCATGTCGCGCAAGACCCGTTTCGAATCGCCGCCCGCGTGCCCCAATGGGGGCGGGCTTTCCATCCCGAGGCGAGTCTTGACGGCCCCGAGGGCCGGCGAAGGCCTCCAGAGGCCGAGCATGCGGAACAACCTCCTGTCGTGCTTTCTTCATGGCCCGAGGGGGTACAGTCAACCATGATAGCAAGGATGGGGCAACTGTCCAAGGCTACCCTCGCACCCTCGCCCCTTCGGTATTCGGCATCCTTCGGCATTCTGCTGCGCTCCGCACGGAAAACGTCAACATGGCGTTCCGAGGCCCTTACATCATTACCGCGCATCCTTACTATCCTGGTCGAGTGTATGGGCCCCTGTGCCCTGTGCGCCCGTTTGGGATGGGGGGCCGGGCACGGAGCCGGGGGTTCAAAGCGCCCGGAGCCAGGCGGCTCCCCCCCGGGGGCGGGACGGCCGTTCGGGACCCAGAGGCGCGGCCGCGGAGGAGGTGTTCCGGCAAGAGAGGGGGTGGCGAGAGAGGTGCAGCAGCGGCTCGGTGCATCGAGGCGGTTGTTTGCAAGGGATCCTGTGCAGTGACGACCCCGATAGTCATGGCAGGAACTTGTGTCAGCGATTCGATTTCTTCCTTCACGGCTGAATCGATTGCTCTAAATGAAGCGGTCGAGGCTGTGAGGAAACTCGCGCTTGAAATCGGCTGCCAGCAGCCCAACATGTGACCTAGGCCTCGAGAAAGAAAGAGAGGTGCACTCTGCGTAAACCCTCGGGGCCCAGGCGGTCCCCTGTCGGGCCCAAAGGTGAAGTCGGGCGTGTCCCTCTACAGGAGGAATATTCAAAATAGTTTAGACAAGAGTATAGTCTGTGGATGATCTTGATATGGTTTGCCAATTTTAAAATGGTCCTCCAAAATCCGCCTGTAGGAGGACATGCCCGATCTAAGCGTGGCTGCGGAGGAGAAGTTGCGGCAAGGGAGGGGGGGGGAAGAAGGGTGCACCCTGCGTGAACCCTCGGGGCCCAGGCGGCCGCCCAGAGGTGAAGTCGGGCGTGCCCCTCTACAGGAGGAATCTGCAAAAATAGTCCGACAAAAAAGAGTATGGGGGCGAATTGTCGTTTAGTTGTTTGTGTGACAATTTCCCAGTGTGTTCTGACTTTTTTTTGCTCCAGAAATTTGTTCTTTTCGTCCAGACTCCGCCTCTGAAGGACATGCACGACCTAAGCGCGACTGCGGAGGAGACCCTCTGGCAAGGGATGGGGGGGAAGAGAGGTCACCCTGCGGCGTGAACCCTCGGGGCCCAGGCGGCCCCCTCCCGGGCCCACAGGGCGCACGAAGGGTGCCACTGGGTGCTCCGGCACGCGCGCGCAAAAGCTGCATGTTCTGAGCGCGCTCCGCCGCCCGCGGCCTCTCTCTCCCCCCCCCGCCCGCGCCCCTCCTCCTGCCGTGCCCGCCTGGGCCCCGCAGTGCCCTGCAGCCGCCTCCGACCGCAGCTCGGGTCCGCGCCGCTGAGGCCGAAAGAGTCTCCGCCCCGCCCGCGTGATCGCCCCTCTGCGGATCGGCTGTACGTAAGGAGTGGCCTCTCGCCGAAGTGGCCGCTGTTGCGGGCACGCTGGGGCTTCAGATGGTTGGGCGCGAGGGCGAACGCAGCGTCTTGCACGCCCGGGGTCTGGCCTCCGGCCCCGAAAGTCGCGCACCAGAGGTCACTCCTGTCTGGGGGCCCAGTCTTGCCGACCAAGAACCAATCGACACCACCCCACCACCCACCTACGACCCGTTGGGTCGCAGGTGGATCGTGGGTGGGGGGATGTCGCAGGTGGGTCGTAGGTGGTCGTAGGTGGGCACGTGCCTGAACTTTCAGCATCGCTGGGCCGTAGGTGGGGTGGTGTCGTTGGGTTTTTTGGCCCGTTCTGCGCGTAGCCGAGCTGACCAGTGCCCAGTCACGCCCAGGCGCGCGCCCCGGGCGCCGCCGAGCAGACTCCCGCGCGCATGCTCGCGGCTCGCCCTGGGGCCTTCGAGCCCGCGGGCCTCGGCGGCGCGCAGGGGGAGCTGGCATGGGCTGCCAGGAGGGAAAGGCAGACACAGGCACAGATCAGCGCCGAGAACAGATAGAAAACACCGAGGGGAAACCGACAGCCCAGAGAATGCCGAACGAGATGGGGGGAATCCTCGAGCTGGTGCGTGCTTTTTTTCGCGCCTCCCTGGGCCCCCGAATTCTCGGACACGGTTTCTTTCGCTCGGCGTGTCGCGCCGCAGGTTCTGGCCCACCACGCTTCGGCGTGACGCGCTCAGCGTTTCAAGCACGCCCCGGCCCCCCCAGCCGACAACACATCCCGAGCCCTTCCCGGCACCCCACCCCACGAGGTGAAAGCAGCACGCCGACGGCCTGCAAGGCACAGCGCGCCGCAACGGCCGCCGCCGCGACACGCTGAGCGAAGTTCCAAACCGCAGTCCCGCTTCATCCGGCTTGATCCTGGGCCTAATTCGGCTCAGTGGCCCCTCAGTCGATGATCCTCAGGACGTGTGTTAGCCCAATGCTTACCCCGTCCAACCCAACCAGTCGATCATCACATCTCCTTCGTCGTGGTGGAGGGCCTCAGTGGGCAAACACACGCTGGCGCTAACACACGTTCTGAGGATCATCGACTCAGTCGTGGTCCTCGCGCTACAGGCGGACGCTGAAGCTACGCGCGTCTGCAGAGCTCTGCAATAATGCGCGTTGTGATTAGCTGGTGCGCAAGTGGGAAGCGAGAATTCGACTGCGCGTGGGATCCTTCCGGCTCCCCAGTCTCCTCATTGTCTGCAGGACTGACCAATTACTGGTTGCAACCTAGTGGCGCACCTGTGTCCCAGGTAGCGCGGCAGAGAGCAGGATTGACAATTGGGCGCGTTGTGCTTCAAGACTGGGAGACGTGCAGGATGATGATGATAATGATGATGATGATGATGATGATGATGATGATGATGATGATGATGATGATGATGCTGATGATGATGATGATGATGATGATGAGGAGGAGGAGGAGGAGGAGGAGGATGAGGATGAGGATGATAATGATGATGATGATGATGATGATGATGATGATGATGATGATGATGATGATGATGATGACGCCGACGCTGACGCTGACGCTGATGCTGATGCTGATGCTGATGCTGATGCTGATGATGATGAGGATGATGGTGATGGTGGTGGTGGTAGTGATGATGATTATGATGAGGAGGAGGAGGAGGAGGAGGAGGAGGAGGAAAAGGAGGAGAAGGTGGACCGAGGTTGGGTTTTTTCTGCATGTTTGATTCGTTTTGGAGCTGGAGACGTCTCTGGCGGCCTCGAAAGACTGCTGGAGACCTCCGGAGACTTCCCCAGACCGCCAGGGACATTTGGGAGAGATGAATATGACAGAGACCGCGGCCGTCCCGTCACCAGGCGGCACCAGCGAGAACGGCGTAGCAACGACCGTGTACACGTTCAGCAACAGCACCTGCGAATGGGCAGCGCGGGCCAGATTGAAACCGGGGCACCTTTGAAGTTTAGCTTCCATACCGCGAGTAGTGGTGTTGCTCAATCCGCGAGGCAGGGATGAGTGTGGCAGGATGCCCGCCACTCTTGGGCCACACACAATTACTATGTCGCTCGCTTCTTGATCGGCATTTTCCGATGACCTTGCGCAGCAGATTTCGGCAACGAGAATCCTAGCACCGAGGCTGGTTTAAAGACCAACGGCATTGTTCAGTGGCGCTGGGGATTCCCACACGGTTACTGATTATGTGTTGCTTGGACCTCGGGCGCGTCGTGCCCCACGCCCTGCGGGATGACCTCCTCGCCTGCTCCGTGCGTGTGAACATGCCTTTTTGTCGCGGTCGTCTTTGTATTTCCCAACCACATTGTGGTGTGTGGTCGTCGTTTCGAGTCAGCAATCCCCCCGAGTCCTCCTCATCCCTTTCCTCCTCCCTTTCCCTCCCCATCCTTCTTATCAGCACCGTCATCATCATTGCCAACATCATCACCATCATCATCATCATCCTCATCAGCATCATCCTCATCAGCATCATCACCATCCTCATTCTCATCCTCCTCATCATTACCAGCATCATCATCAGCACCATCATCATCACCGAGTGGCTTTTGGTCATCGACAGAACAGCCATAGCAGCAGCCACAGTGGAAGGCGGCTCGCACAGGTGAGCCAGCTGATATTGACGATGCGATGGCAGACGAGGGATTTGATCTAGAATGGTGGGAGGACGCGGACCTGGAGTCGGTGCAGGTCTTCTGTCCCAGCAGCATCAGTTTCAACTTCATAAAATTGGACTTGAAGCAAACGCCAAGGTCGCTGCCATCAAGATCACGCGGAACCCCAAGTTCACGGGGCTCCGTAAGGACGTGGAAAACTCAGCTGTCAATCAAACCAGCATGGACGTGAAAGTTGACCTGATGGGGAGTCGCATGGGCAACATCACCGCCAGGCTGGACAAGACAGATCGAGCTGTGCAGGACCTCACGTCGAGGACCTTGCAGTTGGAGAGAGGCGGAGTCGGATCAAACGTGGAACACGTTCAGCAGGATGGAATCACCCAGGCAATCCTCATAGTCGAGAGGCAGTCGAGAGGCAAAGTACGTGCCAAAGACCCGCCGTCAGGTCATTGTCGTGGGCGGCTTCCCGGCGGACGCCGAGAAGGCCAGGACGATCATCGCAACACTTGATTTCCAGAAGGCCTTCGATTCAGTCGAACATCAAGCGTTGTGGAATTCTCTATTCGGGCAGGGCGTGCCCGTGCCGTACATCGCCTTGCTGCAGAAATTATATCGCGGACACACAGCGAAGGTGCTCACAGACGCAGACAGCCGGATATTCGATATTTGCCGCGGAACCAAACAGGGGGGCCCATTGAGTTCGTTAGTGCTTAATTGTCCTCTTGACGGCAGAATGCGACGATCGAAAGCAAAGTGGAAGGCGAAGCGTTTTGGTATTCAATCGGGCGTGACAGACGTGTCTATCCTGACTAACTTACGTTTTTGCAGATGACGGATCATTAACAAGAAGATCGTGGCATCAGACCCACTGCGTGCTTCTCCGACGTCCACGAGACTGCTGGGGCGGTCGGCTTGTGTTTGCACCCGGATAAGGCCAAATGGCTGACCAAAGCACCAACGATTCGCGGCCGAGGCAACCAGAAGAAAACAGTAGTCAAAAGGATTTCATATCGAGATATTACCATCATACAGGATCGTGAAACTATTGGGGAAAAATGCTGGGACCCACAGCGGCGATGGGGCCAGATATCGATCACATAATCAGGCAGGCGTGGAAGGCGTTCATGTTGCACAAATCAGAATTGACGAGCAAACGGCACAGTCTCAGATCTCGATTGCGCTTGTTTGGCAGCGCTGTGACGTCGACTATGCTGCACGGGGTCCGAGCTGGACTATGTTGCTAGATATGCAGCACCGGATACAGAGAATGCAGCGAAAAATGTCGAGGATGATTTTAGGCTCTGGGAAACGAATTGTCGAGACCAGCGACAGCGTAGAAAGCAACAGTCCCAATGCAAGCGAGCCGTCATCTGCGAACAACCTTGGCCGACCCAGGGAGGCATGGTTTTCTTGGGTGAAAAGGAGCACGCATGCAGCTGAGAGTTTGCTTGGACGAAGCCGCGACTGGCGTGCATCTTGGAAGCGCAGGACGTGGCGTTTTTCCTACATAATTACCACAGTAACAGCAGAAGATGGACGTGGAGGGTTACACGCTGGGCGCCAAGGGATGCGGCATCTGCATGGCGAGCCCCGCATGTGACCCCAAAGCGGTAGACGATGTTGCACGTTTTCCCAATAACCATGACATTGATGCGGCGAACGACAAATTGTTTTATGCTGTATCATCTTTCACATCTGATCAGCGGGGTCTTCTGGGTCACAAGTTCTGCGGCGACAAGAACATCCGAGGGCTGCGGTCCTTCCCGCCCTTCCGTCTAGGGACGCGCTCCGGCGCGACGGTGGCGGTTCGTTCGTTCGTTCGTTAAGGGGCAGTGTTGCGGTTTTCCTATTTTCCCGAAATAGAAGGGGCCCGCTTCACCAGTTCGATAGCACAGAGGACGAGAGGCAGATGAGCACATAGACGTCGGCGGCACGCGACATCATCAGCAAACATTTGAAGTAGACCCACGGGCGCGCCGAGAGCCCGACCCGCGAGGATTTGCTCAAGACGCTGCCGTGCGACTGCGGCGCGGGGATCACCCGATACCGTGCGCTCGATGACATGATCTGCGCTTTGTACGAGGCGAATCGCACCGCAGGTCTGTTCGAGGTATAGTCGCAGGCGCAGACGTCCCAGCTCAGAATCGGCTTCGAAGAGTACTTCCAGGATCTCGTCTACGGCGCGCGCCAAAGTGCGGGGCCAACAGCGCCCCGAGGGCGATGCTCAGCATTGCGGATGATCTTGTGGAATGCGCGTGGCATCGAACATGAAGTCGTTTTCTTTTTATAATTATTAAAAAATGCGCAGAACTGGAGAGAGAGGAGCAAGGGCATGTTCTTTTACTTTAGGAGGCGGCGTGCTCTGAAGACTTCCAGGTCGGCGCAATGGGCGGCGGCCGTCTTCCTCTCGCCTCGATCTCACATGAGGGGCGTAGAAGAACAGCTCTCATAGATTATCGAACGTTCACGGGCGATGGCGACGCGTCCTTAAGCCAGAACGCAAGAGCCAGATCCGTGGGGCTCAGGCGGGGCTATCAGAGCATCCGCCTCGTCCGTGCGCATCCTCTCCTTTTTCTCAACATAGCTGATCGCAATGCGAGCATTGATGGCGCGCGTGCATGTATCGACGAAAGCAGGCGTGACTATATTGCGATTGGGGTGGATGCCCAAGCCGCGGTCGGCGAAGGGCAAGCAGCGCCCTGGTCTGGCCATCATGCGACCTCCCGTCGTGACCTCGTCGCTCCACACTTCCTGGACTTCGTTGAGACCCACGGCCTATCCCTCCTCGACGCTATAGAGTTGTCGCCCTCCAGTTGTTGGACGCGCCATTATGATTTTAAGCTGCGCTCTACACCTCTGTAGATGGACTGCGTCGAGGTTTCCATAGGGTTACTAGGTCGCCAGCTTGAGTTTGAAGCATCGCCGCCAGCCTCGACGGCGACAGAGTGCGACCACAGGCCCATCAGCGCCATGCTTTTCGTTGGGCTGGCGGATGCGCGACGCCGAGCTCCCGAATAAGATCCGCGATGAACTGGAACTTCCATATTTCCTAGATGAGATTTCGAACCTACTTCAGAACCTTGGGCCTGGCATATCTGGGCGGCCGGAAGCTTTGCCAAGGGGCGACGTTTGCCAAAACGAGTCGAATCAGAAGCTGATTGGGGTCTTGCAGTCTTCCCCCTGGAACGCGATGCCCCGGTTGTCAGGCCCAATCTTTCGCTCGCCGCTTGTGGGCACGTCGCTGACGACCCGCAGCGCAAAGCACGTCTTGGAGTAGCGCGTCGGATTAACCGTGCGGTCGAGATCGCAGCGTTGATTTAGTTCTGATTTTCTGGCTCTTCCAGGATGGCCAACGCGGGCTAGTTCTCTCGGCGCGTTCCGGTTTACGAAAACTTTGGAGGTCTGAATGTTCTTGATTCGGCTCGGAAGCACGTTCGCGGCCCACGTCGATGCGAAGTGCGCAATATTAGCATCTGAAGGTGCGATGCGACCGAAGGACAGCGCCTTACTCGCATATATCGTTCGGCATCTGTTTCAACGAGCTTGTGGATGCTACCGCGTGAAACGCATGGGATCGGTTGCGCCGGGCCGAAAACGTCGGGGGCGATGTCGCCGACCACCTCGCCAAACAGGGAGTTCGCATAGCATCGGAAGTGGCCGAGTGGGCGCGACCTGCGCGGGTCGATGGATCCCAAGAGGATTGTTTCACACTGCTGGGGGGAGCTCAGCAGTCTCGCCGATCCACGAACAGATGCAACGCAGGCGAAAGAGGTTGGAGACCAGTTGTCCTTCGTTCCTCATCAGGGACCTCGCAGAGTCGACCATTCACTCGCCGCTGCCTCGCGCGGGCGCGGCCAGACAACCTGTATTTTCCCTGGGTCAATTCGCTGCGATCTGCGACATTGCTGCCACTTTCGAGGGTTGCTGGTGGGTCCTGCGGAGTGGGGCACCGCGCGGGTCTGAGCGGGACCTCGCCGTCCTTGGGGGCTGCGATCTGCGAAAATGTTGTCATTTTCGAGGGCTGCTGGAGGGTCCTTCGGAGTGAGGCACCGCGGGGATCTGAGCGGGACCTCCCCGTCCTTGGGGGGGCTGCGATCTGCGAAGCTGTCGGCACTTTCGAGGGCTGCTGGTGGGCCCAGCGGAGTGAGGCACCGCGCGGATCTGAACGGGACCTCCCCGTCCCGGGGGGGGAGGCGACGATCTGCGAGCGTGTCGCCACTTTCGATGGCTGCTGGTGGCTCCTGCGGAGTGAGGCACCGCGCGGGTCTGAGCGGGACCTCGCCGTCCGTGGGGGGCTGCGATCTGCGACACTGTCGCCACATTCGAGGGCTGCTGGTGGGTCCAACGGAGTGAGGCACCGCGCGGATCTGAGCGGGACCTCGCCGTCCCTGGGGGGCTGCGATCTGCGACACTGTCGCCACATTCGAGGGCTGCTGGTGGGTCCAACGGAGCGAAGCACCGCGGGGATCTGAACGGGACCTCGCAATCCTTGGGGAGCTGTGATTTGCGGCGCCGTCGCCACTTTCGAGGGCTGCTGGTGGGTCCTGCGGAGTGGGGCACCGCGCGGGTCTGAGCGGGACCTCGCAATCCTTGGGGAGCTGTGATTTGCGGCACCGTCGCCACTTTCGAGGGCTGCTGGTGGCTCCTGCGGAGTGAGGCACCGCGCGGGTCTGAGCGGGACCTCGCCGTCCCTGGGGGCTGCGATCTGCGACACTGTTGCCACTTTCGAGGGCTGCTGGTGGGTTCGCCATTTTCGAAGGCTGCTGCTGGGCGCAGCGGAACGAGGCATTGCGCAGACATGAGCGGTGCCTCGCATTCCTTGGGAGGCCATGTCATGTTGTTGCTGCCCCGCCGACGTTTCAAGCCCCTTGCCCACCGTCTCCTTTTGGACCTTGCGTCTTCGTTAGTGATTCAGTGGTTCACTTAATTACTCATCGTGATTCCCCTGTGGGGACCTGCGAACCTTCGGAATGCCGCTCGCAGAAGTAGATTCGTCCATGTCACGTCGCCGCCTTCTCGTCAAATCTCCCAAGGTACTCCTGCCCCGCATTGCGCAAGGGTTGGGTACGTCGCCAGGGTAATTCTGTCGTTGTCCTCACCTCGACCAACCCTGGAGTTTGACCGCTCAGACTCCCGAGTTTTCTCTACACTGCATGAGTATGGTTGTGCCATGGCGTTCGCGTGCACATGTTTAGGGTTGTGAGTCTTCCATGTCGTATTCATCATCCTAGCTTCGGTCAGGGCCGATAGTTTTCGAGGAGCATAAATACACAGCGTCATCATCATCATCAGCATCATCATCATCATCATCAGCATCATCATCATCATTAGCATCGTCATCATCACCATCACCACCATCACCATCATCATCGTCAGGTACATGTCGTTGTTGGTGCAAGAATTTGACAGCCTCCCACAGCTGTAGGAACGTCGTGGCACTTACGTATGCAGACTGCGAGGCTTGGCGCAACTCTATGTTAATCCACAGGCACAAAGTCAGGTCACAAGTATCACGACTTTTGCCAGCCACTGCGAGTTCATGTCCACACCTGACTGTGCCCCACTTGTGCGCACCTTCGGTCACACCACCAAACACAACCTCCTGCCTGTAATAGTGGCATTTGCCAAATCATCATCATCATCATCATCATCATCATCAGCATCAGCATCAGCATCATCATCATCATCGTCATCATCATCATCATCATCATCATCATCACCATCGTCATCGTCATCGTCATCGTCATCGTCATCACCACCATCATCACCACCATCACCTTTATCATCGTTACCTCCACCATCATCCGAATCACCGTGCCGCCACACCGCTCACGCGCTTCGTGGCCCCACAGGGGGCTAAACCGAAGGCTTCTTAACCACTCAATTTCCAGACTGTGAAAGCGACGCAACCAAAAACATCATTGAGAACATCATTGCCTTCATCATCGTTCACAACACCATCATCCTAATCACCGTGTCGCCACATCGTTCAAACGCTTTGTGGCCCTACAAGGGGCTACACCGAAGGCCCCAAAGTGGCTACATTCGCCTGCTGTCTCAGGCCCATTGCGGCACGCCCCATCACATGGTTCGTGGCCCCATAGCGAGCTCCACCGAAGGCCCCAGCGGCTGCGTTCGCATACCGTCCAGAACCGAAGGAAGGGACAACGGCACAAGCACAAACTTCCGGAGGTCTGGGCGGATTTTTGGATCGTGGCCCAGATGGCGGCGCCACGGGGACCCAGCTCTTGGCCTCCTAGGTGTGGTCCGAGCCGATGCAGGTTCGGAGGATCGCGCCGCATCGACGATGCATCGACGATGCGGCTCGATGTGGAGACCGTGTTTCCCCACGCCGACGTCGCCGTTGCATCGCCGACGTCACCGATGCATCGGCGATGCATCGCCGATACATCGGCGATGCATTGGCGATGCGGCGCGATCCTTCGACCCCATCTACTCGGACCCTATAGGCCTCTATATGCTTATCATGGTTGTTTCTCCTCTGCAGGGTGTGTCCCCAATCATTGCGATTGGGGGGGGGGGTAAAACTTGTCCGCCTCCAGTCTTTGCGCATCACGCGGGAATCGTCCCAAATTCAGCTTCTGGCAGTCTCGGTCGCATGCGCAGTCCCGGCACAGGCGAGATCTGCGGGTCTGCAGCAGCGCTTCCTCACCTCAGCAGCCGTTTGCCTCCGAGGCCCCACAGAGGGCCGCGCTAGAACCTGTTTTTGTGAGGTCTGGGCGATAACGACTGTGATCGGCCCTCTCCTCCCCCGCCGATCACGTCACGCTATTGTGCCCACGTTTGCAAAGAGTTCCCACGGATTCTCTTCGAGGTCTTCCTGAGATTTCCAGCGGCCCGCCGCCAGGGTGTGATCGGGAGGGACGAACTCCCCCCCTCCCTGATCACGCCCGTCATCGTGAATGTTTTTTTTTACCTAACAGCGAAGACTGATAGGTTTCTAGTAGGGTCAAAAGAGAGCATCATGACGCCCCAGGGGGGTCTGGGCGCGATCCGGGGGGATGCCGGGGAATTCGTTTTAAGCAAACAGTAACGCACTTCGTGGTCTTCGAGTTACCAGAACTCCATTCCTGGGCATGATTTCAAATGCCCGGAGCCAACTGTAGGCCACTTCGTGCTCTTCGTGTTCCCAGAACACCCTTCCCGGGCCACATTTTGAATGCCCGGAGTCAACTGTAGGCCACTTCGTGTTCTTCGTGTTCCCAAAACACCATTCCCGGGCCACATTTTGAATGCCCGGAGCCAACCGCAGGCCACTTCGTGTTCTTCGTGTTCCCTGAACACCAGTCCTGTGCCATATTTTGAATGCCCGAGCTGAAGCAGGCTGAGGCCGAGGCAGGCTGAGGCCGAGGCAGGCTGAGGCTGAGGCTGAGGCACGCCGCAGGCTGAGGCTGAGGCTGAGGCTGAGGCAGGCTGAGGCTGAGGCTGAGGCTGAGGCTGAGGCTGAGGCAGGCTGAGGCTGAGGCTGAGGCTGCAGGCTGAGGCGCTGAGGCTGAGGCTGAGGCTGAGGCTGAGGCAGGCTGATGCTGAGGCAGGCTGAGGCTGAGGCTGAGGCTGATGCAGGCTGAGGCTGAGGCAGGCTGAGGCTGAGGCCGAGGCTGAGGGCTGAGGCTGAGGCTGAGGCAGGCTGAGGCTGAGGCTGAGGCAGGCTGAGGCTGAGGCTGAGGCAGGCTGATGCTGAGGCCAGGCTGAGGCTGAGGCTGAGGCTGCAGGCTGAGGCTGAGGCAGGCTGAGGCAGGCTGAGGCTGAGAGGCTGAGGCTGAGGCTGAGGCTGAGGGCAGGCTGAGGCTGCCGAGGCAGGCGAGGCTGAGGCTGAGACGAGGCTGAGGCTGAGGATGAGGCCAAGGCAGGCCGTAGCTGAGACATGTGAGGCTGAATGGGGGGGGGAAGGGGGGGGGGGGGGAGGGGAGGCTGAGGCAGGCTGAGGCCGAGCTAGGCTGAGGCCGAGGCAGGCTGAGGCTGAGGCTGAGGCAAGCCGAGGCATGGTGAGGCTGAGGCTGAGGCTGAGGCTGAGGCTGAGGCTGAGGCTGAGGCTGAGGCAGGCTGAGGCCGAGGCAGGCTGAGGCTGAGGCTGAAGCTGAGGCTGAGGCCGAGGCAGGCTGAGGCTGAGGCTGAGGCAAGCCGAGGCAGACTGAGGCTGAGGCTGAAACTGAGGCAGGCTGAGCCATCCGTAGGAATCCATCGGAATCCTTAGGAATCCCCAGGGATCCTTAGTAATCCGTAGGCATCCTTAGGAATCCGTCGGCATAGTTAAGCATCCTCAGGAATCCTCAGGAATCCAGAGGATTCCTATGGATTCCTAAGGGTGCCTAAGGATGCCTTTGGAATCCCTAGGAATCCTCAGGATTCCATTGGATCCTGAGGCCGTTGCCACTGCGACTGTCATTGCGAATGCGACTGCGACTCTGAGAACAGCAGAATTCTACAACTGGATTCTCACCTGAATCTTAAGGGGAATGTTTCCAGATATGCTTAAACACATCGCTGTTAGGTTGCTTTGCCTTTTTTTTTTTTTTTTTTTTTTTTTTTTTTTTTTTTTTTTTTTTTTTTTTTTTTTTTTTTTTTTTTTTTTTTTTTTTTTTTTTTTTTTTTTTTTTTTTTTTTTTTTTTTTTTTTTTTTTTTTTTTTTTTTTTTTTTTTTTTTTTTTTTTTTTTTTATTTTTTTTTTTTTTTTTTTTTTTTTTTTTTTAAAAAAAAAAAAAAAAAAAAAAAAAAAAAAAAAAAAAAAAAAAAAAAAAAAAAAAAAAAAAACGGCGCTGGGCCTGGGGAAGAAACGTCCCCGCCGCGGCGTGCAGAGCTGCGCCCGCCCGCCGCCCCCCCTCCGCCCAGGCAATCCTGCCCGTCGGCGGGCAGGCGCCCTGCCCCCGGTCGGGCGCCAAGGCGGCGGCGATGGGCCGGGCCCTGGTGCTGTTCGGCGGCTACTCGAAGCGCAGTGGCGGGGAGGGCGCCGGGCCTTGATCGGACAGGGCTAGGACGAGGCCAAGTCCGTCCCAGAGCGTTCCGGAGCGCTCCGAGAGGGCCGCGGCGCCCGATGCATCCCTCCAGAGCAGGCCGGGTCCCCGAGAGGCTCTGGACTTCTTACCTCGCCCGACCTCGTCCTCGCCCTGGCTCCGTCTCGCGCGATGCCTCCACCCGTCGGGCGAAGAGAACTACGCACATGCATTGATCCTGGCAAGGCCCATCCTTGACCCAGGATCGGTGCATATGCCTTCCTGGCCAAGGCAGGAGGGCGTATGCACCGATCCTGGGCTCAGGATGGGCCTGGCCAGGATCGGTGCATGTGCATAGTTCTTTTTCCTCTAAGGACGAGGCCAAGTCCGTCCCAGAGCGTTCCGGAGCGCTCCGAGAGGGCCGCGGCGCCCGATGCATCCTCCAGAGCCCCGCCGGGTCCCCGAGAGGCTCTGGACTTCTTACCTCGCCCGACCTCGTCCTCGCCCCGGCTCTGTCCCACGCTATTCGGGCGAAGAGAACTATGCACATGCACCGATCCTGGCAAGGCCCACCCTTGACCCAGGATCGGTGCACCGATCCTGGGCTCAGGATGGGCCTGGCCAGGATCGGTGCATGTGCATAGTTATTTTTCCTCTAGCTATGCCTCCACCCGAGAGGGATGAGCGGCACGAGCGCTGCTCTTCCGAGCTCCGCGCGGCTTCCCTGGGTCGGCCTTCCCCGGGGGCCGCGGGGGGAGGCCCCCTTAGGCGGGTCGGGCCTGGGCCCCTCGAGGGCCTGCCTCCCCCCCCCCGATGGGGAGGCCGATCGGGCGGGCGGTCATGGCAGGGCTCGTTTCGACCCCTCCGGAGGAGGAGGAGGAGGGAGGAGGGAGGAAGGAAGAGGAGAAGGAGGGAGGAAGGGGAGAGGAGGATGGGGGAGAGGAGGAAGAAGAGGAGGGGTCCAAGGCCCGTTGCCCTCAGGGTCTGCTTTTCCTTCCTGCCAGGGGGCGGTCATTCCATTCGATTCGGTGTCGATGGCTTCCAATTCCGATCTGATTCGACTTCGGACGCCGAGTTCGACTCCGATCGACCCCTCCGATTGCATTCGATTCGGTGTCGATGGCTTCCAATTCCGATCTGATTCGACTTCGGACGCCGAGTTCGACTCCGATGCCTCACTGGAGGCATACCAGCCTGCCGATTTTTCCGCCGATTCGACTTTCCCGCCTCGGCTGCCGACGTCCGCCGATCCGATTCGTTTCGATCGCCGATCGGACTTATCGATCCGATTCTGGGCTCTCCTTCGGAGGCGGCGGCCTCCGAGGCCCAGGACGCGGAAATCCTAAAAACTGCCGAAGAGAGTTCGAAGAGGGCCCCGAGACGGCTCAAGTGGGGTTCAGGAATGACCTAGAGGCCCCCAAAACAGCCCAAGAAGGCTCCAGGACCGATCCCAGAAAGGGCTCACAGGGGTACCCGACCTGGTGACCCAAAGGGGGGGGGGGGAAGAAAAGAGCCCCAAAGGTGCCGTTCAGGACCCCGTTTGGGCACCAGGCGGCTGCAAAAGGGGGGCCTACGAAAGGGTCCCTCAAAAGGGTCAGACATGGAACCGCTCTCTTCCTGTTTCCCCTTCCTTCCCCGGTTCGCTCCTTCTTCTCCCCTTCTCTTCCCCCTCCTCCCTGCCCATCCTCTCCCTTCTCCTCCCCTCTTCACCCTCATCCAGTCTGGCGCCCCAATTTGGGCCCCCCCCCCATGTGCCGCTCGCCCGAGCGGAACCCCAGAGGAGCCCCAAAGGTGCCCTTTCGGGCCCCGTTTGGGCGCGAGCTGGCCCCCAAAAGGGGGGGCCTATGAAACAGTCCCTGCAGGGCCCTTCTCTGCACCCCCCCAATGTGGGCATTCCCCCCCCCCCCCTCTGCCCGCCCGCCCGAGCGGAGCCCTGGCCGGCCGACCAGGCCAGGGCGGCCCGCCTTCCGGCCCCGGCCCAGGGCCCGAGGCTGGCGGCCCGCAGGCGAGGCTGCCTCTTGCGTCACGTCGGGCACGCCCCTCCACAGG